CGGAGAAGTTAAGTGTCCTATTCAAGGTCACACTGCTCGTCTGCAGCTGTGTCAGGGGTGGGATCCCAGAGGCCATGCTTTTAGCTCCTGCAGCCTGCAGCTTCTGAGCCCCTGATCAGAGAGTTCTCGGAGAGTGTAGCCCTCAAGTATTGTAAAAAGAGGAGGGAGGCTGGGCATGGTGGCTCATGGCTGTAATCCCAGCACTTTGGGAGGCCAAGGTGGGAGAATCACTTGAGGTCGGGAGTTTGAGACCAGTCTAGCCAACATGGCGAAACCCCATCTCTACTAAAAATAAAAAAATTAGCCGGCGTGGTGGCACACGCATGTAGTCCCAGCTACTCAAGAGGCTGAGGCAGGAGATTGCTTGAACCTGGGAAGCAGAGGCTGCAGTAAGCCAAGATCGCGACACTGCTCCAGTCAGGGGGACAGAGCGAGACCTCATCTCAAAAAAGAAAAAAAAAAAAAAAAGAGAGAACAAGTTTAAGGCAGGACATTCTGAGCAGGGTGAACAGGTTGTCCCGGGAGGGGTAGAAGGTTAAGGGGAGTATGCAGGCAGGGAGGGCGAGGTGTTCCATGAAGGAACACAGTGTGAAGGTTGAGGGAACAGAGTGGACGTGACAGAGGGGTCAGGAAAGGCAATGTGGAACCAGGTTGCCAAGGACCATGAATCTTTATTTTTCTAAATTAATTTTTAATTTTTTAAATTTTAGAGTCAGAGTCATACTCTGTCGCCCAGGCTGGACTTTCCTGGCATGAGATCACAGCTCACTGCAGGCTTGAACTCCTGGGCTAAAATGATCCTTCTGCCTCAGCCTCCCAAGTGGCTGGGAACATAGACATGTGCCAACATGCCCGGCTAAATTTATTTTTTATTTTCTTTCCCCTATCGGGGGAAACCCTTCCCCCAGTATTCAGTGTGGGTTCTTTTTTATTTCCCTAAGCGTCAGCTGGTCTGAGAAATAAAGGGGAAGGGGAAAAGAGTACAAGAGAAAGAAATTTTAAAGCTGGGTGTCTGGCGGAGACATCACACGTCGGCAGCTTCTGTAATGCTCCTGAGCCGTGAAACCAGCAAGTTTTTATTAGCGATTTTCAAAAGGGGAGGGAGTATATGAACAGGGTGTGGGTCACAGAGATCACATGCTTCACAAGGTAATAAAATATCACAAAGCAAATGGAGGCAGGGCAAGATCACAGGACCACAGGACGGGGCAAAATTAAAATTGCTCATGAAGTTTCTGGCATGCATTGTCACTGATAACATCAGGAGACAGGGTTTGAGAGCAGACAACCGGTCTGACCAAACTTTATTAGGTGGGAATTTCCTCATCCTGATAAACTTGGGAGCTCTACAGGAGACCGGGGCTTATTTCATCCCTTTGTCTTTGACCGTTAAAGACAACCACCCCCAAAGCGGCCATTTCAGAGGCCTACCCTCAGGGGCACATTCTCTTTCTCAGGGGTGTACCTTGCTGAGAAAAAGAATTCCGCAATATTTCTCCTTTTGCTTTTGAAAGAAGAGAAACATGGCTCTTTTCCGCCCGGATCACTGGCAGTCAGAGTTTAAGGTTATCGCCCTTGTTCCGTGAACATTGCTGTTATCCTGTTCTTTTTTTCAAGGTGCCCAGATTTCATATTGTTCAAGCACACGTGCTCTA